TTATTTTAGGGTGGTCTTTCATGTGGTGAGGTTCAGTTTTCGACAAATGTAATATTTTCATACTTGTTCAGTCTCCTTTTGAATTTCAGGATGGCCAATTAACCTGACATTTCATTATAATTCGAGAAATCTCAAACAAGCAAAAGAGTTTATGTAGGGAACTTAATAGGAAAGATTAACACGGTGGGAGATGGAGAACACAAGCATACCTACAGTAGAACATACATCTTCAATTAGCTGTTTTCTAGTCAACTTAAAATATTTTAATTACATTTCTTTAACTCAACTGTTTTACCACTTTGCTATGAATTGTCATGTCTCACATTTTCAGAAATACATAAATTATTTCAATGAACAGGACTGTAAAGAAAAAATTAACTGACTGGCAATCTTCTGAATGCTCATCTTTTCAATAGTATTCTCAAATTAGACAGCAAGACCATGATCAAGTTACATGTACTTTACTGTCTAAGCCATTAGTTGAYGGTGGAAGGTGACTTAGGCAGAACAAACTAGATAACYCTGCTACTGTTATTCACTTACATTCCTGCAGGATTGCTGACATGCATACCTAGCACTGAACTAGTGTTTGCAATATATTGTAAACTTTTAGGACCAATGTTTTCCATGTGACGTAAGATAGTAGCTRCAATAAAAACAGACAATTCATTCACTGCAATGTGTGCCTGGATACACAAAATAATGTATACTATAAGCTTAAGTCTTATTAAATAGTACACTTCTAATGCATACTTAATGTACACTGTAAGCTCAATGTACTTCAAATTTCAGTTGAMCAAAAATTGATCTAAAAGACATGTTGAATACATTTGTCTTTATAAGTCTCTAGATCTCCGGAAAATTCTTAAATAAAAGAAAAAGAAATAATCATCTTGGTGTAAAAARTGTATTCAAGTTATGCCAAACTGCTTACAGTAATGACCTTTCTCTGAGTCAACTATGTTTAAACAATCAAATCTAGTTGAAATAAATTCACAAAGTMATCAATAAATATTAGTAGTGTCCGTTCMAAACTGCCATTCAGGTTTTAACTTAGCCAACAAATGTCAAAACACTTACCACAAGTTCAATACACAGGTTGTTCCATGTTCCATGTTCATCACTCTTGGTGTTCAAAGCAAAAGAAACGAAGTTCCTCTGATCCGACAAGCTTGATGTATACAATTCCAAAAHCCTCCGACTTTACTTTAGAAATCTTCCTCCTTTGGTGACGATTTCTTGCGTAGATCTCAAAATATCACCACATTTATGTTTYCGAGCAATGAAAATTTCCGCCATTTTGTTTCGGACTAACTGTCTTCTTTCCCATAAAATTTAATAGTAGAGTATAAATTCCATATATTTGTTTCCAAAATACAATACTCAGAGACTTCCTCTACATTATTTGTTAAGTTCGAAGTTCACTTTCTCTAAAAACATGCATATTTTGTAGATCAAACACTTTGAAGCCATTCTCCACACGAGGACTTCTTCRCGAAATAGCGCGTGACGTCATATTAGGACATAAGACCGTACAGCGATTGGCCCTAGAGACAATTCCCCCCCTGGCCGAAACGTTCTAATCAAGAGTTGAAATACTAGTTGCAAGTTGTGTGCCTTTTTCTTCAATTTATTCAATGAAGTTATTAAAAAGTATATATATATATATTGTGATTTTACATTTATGCATCGTTCTTTGAACTCGAGTTTTTC